GCGCGGCGATAAAGAAATGTCTGTCTTTCTTTCCCTGGCTGTAACACAGTCTTCCTGCTGTGCTCAGGTTGATGTGAACAGCAGCCCAGATAAAGCTGACTTTTTTTTTCCCTTCAGGTTGGCTTTGGCTGCAGTGCTATGAACCCTGACTCCGTCCTACATGCCTCTGAGGATTCTTGCAGATGAAAAGCATTCCATTAAACCCAGCTTCCTCTCGGCTGATGCCAAATAGTTCTGGTCACTGCTACCTTTGGGAAGAATTAGCTTTTAGTTCTCAACTTTAACACCTTGATATAAAGTACAGACGATAGAAGATGAACATTAGCACAATAATTAGCCAGTTACTTGCTAATCTTTTAAAGAGCTAAAAAAAAAAAAAAGCTGCGAGCTCCAATGACACCAGCATGAACCGTTCTGTGAGATCCAACGAAACTATATCATAAGCTCTACTTCCCAGTTTATATTTATCTGACCTTCTTCCTCCTGCTCGCCTCTTTTGCTTGTTTGTTTGCAGTGTACTGGTCAGGAGGTGTGTACAAACAGGAGGCTTCTTCTCAGCACACACGCAAAGCAAATACTTGGCGGCGCTGAGGAGAAGCGTGCTGAATTTGACAAGCCGTTTATTGGCTTGGAAAGGCTTCTTGAATGTTGCATTTACAACCTCCTATTAGGATCCAAGGAGAGCATTTTTAAATGTTCAAAAACTCAGCAATAGCCAGTTAGGCTGTCAGTGTGCAGCGTTAGCGTTCTGATTCACCTAATTAAACGAGCGGAGTTATGTTTTCCAGCCACACAGTGCCATTTTATAGCACGATCGAGAAACTATGTTACCTTCGGTTGTTATAAAAATGACTTAAAGAAACTTCACCTTGTAATAACGCCTTTGGAATTGGGCCTCTGTCTCATTAAGAAGCTCCGGCTCTTTCTGAAACTCTGCTCTCGGGAAGTCATCACATCACATTTTTACCAGCATTTCACTGATGATCTAAGCAGATGTGCAGTTCCACCAGGTGCTTGCTAATTGCTGCTGGCTAGTCTGAAGGAGCTGAGTGGGCAATTCGAAGGGGACGGGCTGCTCTGTGAGGTGGAAGTTCGGAAACTGCAGCTCAGAGCAGGAGTTTCATCCTTGAAGGCGGAGCTAAGTCCACCCAGATGTTTTGCACAGCTGAATGGTTGCAATGGATATTAAAGGATTTCTCAAAGATGCTTGAAAGAATCAAAGCAACACTGCAGGTATGTTTCTGATGAGAGAGTAACATAATAAAATGATGAAAGGCTAAAAAAAAAGTTAATTTTACATAATACAGAACCTTTTAAAGTGCAACATTCTATAAAGTTTTGGTTGCAATGTAACAAAATATATATATATTTTTGCAATTTTAATAAGGAAAATCCCTTAAGCAATATAAAAACGCTCAATTATTTATGTATTCTAGGTATATAGCAGATTTCTGGGACCATAAGCCAACCTAAACCAGGTTAAGTCGGTAAAGCTAACCAACAGTCGGTTTACTTCATTAGAAATAACCTTTTTTGAGCTCTTTGATTCAGTGGAAATTATATCGTTGTCAGTGGAAGTGACCTACTTTGCTGAGACAGAAGTGCCACACTCTTACTACTGGCATGTGTTGAATCTGTGTGTCTGGAAAATATGCGGAACTAAATGCAACATCTGAAGGCCAGTGGTCGAATTTGACGTTTCCAAATCAGTCGGATACATCTTTCCTGCATGTCCACCAAAGATACACGGCGAGGTTTCTGCATGATGAACATCAGTTAACAGAGAGCGTGTCTGTACCATTGCAAAGCCAACACAAAAGAAAGGTGGAGCAGGCTAGTGAAGCCTTTATGCCAACACCTTGGTATAGAGTTTAGAGAATGAAATGCTCATGCAAAAAAAAAGTATACAGGAGAAAGAAGGGTGAGGAAAACAGTCACGTGTTTTCTTAATCATGCAGTCTTGATCATCTAATTCCTGATTATTGGAAAAATATTCTACCACAATGTAGTGCATTCGGGACAAATTCAATTAGTCATTGATCGACATTCTGAATATTAAAGCCTACTCTTCGGTCTTTTCCATAGAAGTAAACAAAAATCTGACTGGCCAAAGTTGTAGAACCAGGTTTGAAGTTTGTTAGGTAACCCTCCAAACAGCAACCGCAACAGAATCATTTTTTTGTTTGGGTTTATGTGGACTAACAAAACAATGTGTGATAAACTATCAATTTTATAAACAAAGAACAAATTCAAAAGTCATCCTCCCTCTTAAGAAGACAACAATGGTTGAGGTGGGCAATGAGTCTCTTGGCTTTAAAACGTCCTGGCAATATAGTCGTTGAATTTGACAGTTTTAGTGGCAACTGGAATCCATTACTGTTAAGTCGGCTGTAATGTACCAGCCGAGAGCTTTTGTCAACCGAGCACGTGATACAAGACAATACTTAGGAATATTGGCAATGTTTCCAACATTTCCTTAAAATCATAAATTACCCCAAAGCAATTGGTCACATTGAGGTTGTTAAGACAGATGTAATAAATGAGCATATGCCAGTGCTGGCTTCATAGAAATATACTAGAATTTTCAAATCACGTTAAAAATAGCTATTTTTTTATTTTATATCTGTAAAATTGTGTTTTCAAACAACTCCTCTGATGCGGTAAAGTCGCCTTCTCTGATGATATAAATTATAATGACATACTCCTATAAGAAAGGTTAGAAAATGTATTTTGAATGCAGTCATTATTGAAATTAAAGAGAGTTCAAATTGATATTGGCATGTTAAAACTTCATAAAAATTGACAACTAGAAATCGGCCAAAAATCTGATTGATGCATCTCTAGTACAGAGTTACGGCCAAATAAACCCACTTAAAATGATCGCTACTACTGTGAGTATAAATCAATTCAAATGAACTAAACTACTGCTTTTGTCTGGAAGTATACCCAAATATACATGTACCTTCTCAGTGCTCCCGACCTGCCTGCTGCTCCGTAAAAATAGGACCGGCTTGTAACAAATGCCGCCTTGCCAAGCGAGACGCACAACGCACGTTGTCCTCTTTTCACCGAGTAAATACACTCCATCATCCCCCAACAACTTAAGAGGTCAGGATATTTTTATCAGTTTTGCTGATAAGGTAATGTTTAGTGGAACGTTTACCTTTCAGAACTAAATGTACCATGGCCCCGGCTGCACGCTTTCACCTGACATTGCGTTTTAGACTCAACCGCCATATGGCCGGCAGCCACAGCTGACCAAATCTCAGCGGTGGGTGATGAGAGTGCAGCTCCCAGGCAGGCCCCCAGTAGCACAACAAGAAATATTAAAAAACAAAACAAATTAAAAGAAGAAAAAAACACAGCCATTCTGGGACGTTTACGCTGAATAAACCATGAGCCGGCGGTCCGAGGAAACCGTCTCGACGCTCATATTCAAAACACAGACGATTCAATTCATTCACACATGAATTATGGATCCATTATGGACTGTTTGAGCCGGGGTTCAGGGAATCAGTCAAACAGCTGTACTGAGAGCACTAACCCACTGATCCATCCAAACCAATTATCTGTGTGTAGGGGTGGAGTCTGAGTTCAATATTCAATTTACACGATTCAATTTCACACAAGAAGCTCTCGCTGGAAAACTGCTGGCGTCGAACAACCGGAACGGCCGAACAAAGTAAAAAAAAAAATAATAATAAAAAGAAATGGAGGTGTCTGTCTGAGAAAGTGATAAAGGATAAAGAAGGGCTAACTGAACACTTCACCATAGGGGGGCGTCCATTGAGAGACAGGGAAGACGGTGAGCGCAGCCATGGGGGGTCAATATGTGAATGAACGTTTGCCATAGAGGTGAATTATGAATGAGCAACACTCTGAGCACTCCTGGAGAGAGCATCTCTCCTCCCGCCTCCTCTTTTTTCTTTTTTCCTCCCTTCCTCTTCTATCCTAAAAATCTCAATCATCCTCTCTTTCCATCCACCTTGTTGTCTGCATTCCAGCTCCTTGTCGTCCAGGCTGTCTGAGTAGATGACCGAACACCCCCCTATACACACACACCACCACCACCACCTTTTCTCTTACATATTTACACAGCCTCAGCTGGACGCGTGCACACTCACATGGCGGCAGGAGGATAATATGAGAGCAAACAGCGCTGCACGTGTAAAGGCAGACGCATGCATTAAAGTGAAAAGGCTTTGGGGCATACACACACACACATTTCTCCCAGCTGTTCTCCTGGCTCCAGAGCTTGGGTGTGTGTGTGTGTGTGTGTGTGTAATCCAGTGTGCTGCTGCTCAGCCTGTGCCACGCTCTCTCCTCTGTTGCTGTGCGTCTGATCAGATCTGCCTCCTCTCAACCCGTTTGCCGTATATGGCACAGAAACACGCAGACAGATACATAGTATCTCTCTCTCACACACACACATTGACTGGAGCTGCTACTACTTATCAAGCCTCTCTCAGGGAAAAAAAAAAAAAAGATTTCCCTGTGCTGGGTTTTTTTTCTGCAAGTGTGCACTGGCTTGTGGGAGAAAAAGGAAAAAGTCCACACTTAGATGCAAACACATGGTGAAGAGAGAGGGATTTTAAAGGGAGGGTGAAAGTGGACTCTGCTTTACTGTTGCTCAACTTAAAGTAACATACCAGAGAAGTGTGTGACTGCGTGTGTGTGTGTTGGAATGGGATCAGGCTGTTCCCTAAAAAGTAGCCACTCCTTTTGATCCCTTCACTCCAGTTTACAGTGGTCACTTCCAGCTCACTTTGGCACCCTTTCCCTTCACGCGTGTAAGGGAAAACAACCTCCACAACTAACTCGCGCTAATGTAAACCGACGCTGCGCACACACTCACACACTCACGCACACAGACACACACACGCGCACACAACGCAAACCCACCACACTTTTCCTTCCAAGTGCGGAGCCATGCAGCACATGTCAGCGACACACACCTTCAGAACAGCTACATACGGCCATGAAAAGCCCAATGGAGTCACCTTAAAATCCTTGCGAGTTCCAGGTGAACCCCTTCCCCACTCTTCTTTCTCCTCTGTCAGACTTCTCCCTTTCTCTCTTTCTTCCTTTCTTCCTCTCCTCCTTTCCGACCGAGCTGTCCGTCTGTCAGTCCGTCCTTCTTCTCGCTCTCTCCGTCCGTTTGCCTCCCCCCAATTTTCTCCTCGGTTCGAGGTCACTTCCCAGCGTTTTTCCCGAGCCCCTCCATGTTCCGCCCCGCTAGTCGTCTCGAGCACCGAGCGAGCGAGCGCGCGTGCGCGCACACACAAAGCAGACACACGAGAGCCGCTGCCGCGTTCCTCTGGTCTCCCTGTGTTTATCCCTCTGTGCGCTCTCTCCTCTGTAGGAGAGGAGCTCGGCTTTGGCTGTATGTGTGTGGATGTGCGTGGATGTGTTCCTGGGCTCTGCCTGCCTGCCTTGCCCCGCCAGCGGCTGAGGACTTCCCCCGGAGGCCGCCCTGGGTCCTAAAGAGTGTCGAGTTCACTGAAAGAATGCCATTGTACACAGAAGCTTTAGCCAAAGATCGTCTATTGTTTGTCCAAAACTGATTTAAACATGATGGGTATGTTAGCTGTGACGATGCGTCCTGTATACAAAGATATCTAATCAAATATTTAATATATTTTCTTCACTGTCTAACATTAAATCAGACAGCACTATGATGGTGTATTAGGGCCGTATTAGATACGAAAAGAATGAGTAAATTCTCAGAAATGTTCTAGAAAAACATGTAAATTTTGAGATGAGTCTCACAAAATTTCTCGAAAAACTTTTGTGGAAATTTCTCAGTTTAAAAAGTTGAAATTTGCTTAAAAAAATTAAGAAATTTTCAATTTTCAATTTTCTAGAAAAAAGTAGGACATTTCTGAGTTGGAAAAGTTGAACATTTGCTGGAAAAAGTCAGAAAGTTTTAAATTAATCTTAGGAAATTTCTAGAGATTTTTTTTGGATATGTCTGAATTTCAAACTTAAAAAAATTCCACTGGCTCATTATAATCAAATACTTCAATTTTAGTTTCATAAGACCACAGAGCACATCGTCAACATCCAGGTCTTTATCCCTTGAAAGCATAGCAGGTCTTTTTACTGTTTTGGAATAATTGCTTCTTTTTTGCTGAGTGGCATTTCAGTCCATATGAGTACAGGTTTCCTTGTGGATTATCACACTCACTCAGGTTTTTTGCTTTTCTTATCTCATCCATTACTCTGGTAGTTAACAAAAATAATAAGACTGTTATTAATAAGATTTTTTTTATACCTGAAACAGGTA